AAAGGAAATAAGGAAAGGATAATTGTCATAGAAGAGCAATAATACGGTAAAATACATGTAAAAGTTTAAGCAGTCAGACATCTTTTATATTTAATTTTAATTTTTGCTAATAATTGTTCTTACACATGCATAAGAACTTTATACCATAACTAAGAAACGTGTTAAATAAGACTATTTTTGAATTTGGCATCGGGAAATTGTAATATAATTTTAATACGGTAAAAGATTTTAACACAATAAAAACATCTCTAAACTAAATAGATCAGTCTAACAAAAATATTAAAACATAGACTAAATAATTATATATAATTATAGATCCAAAAAGAAACTTCCATCATCTTATTGAAATAAGCTATTAAAATGTAGTCAGAAAATATATCTTTAAAAATAAACATTTCTTTGAGGATGAAAGTTATGTTAAGATGTGTTGTTTGATCGTATGCTTTGAAAGGGTTCATATATATGCTGAAGACAAGATTGTTTAATTGTGTTCATTAAATATATAACGTGTTATGACGTCAGACTGACTATTCCGTTTGTTTTTCATTAACGGCAAAATGCTAGGTTTAAACAAGTGAATTTAGCTTGCTGCCGTTTATTTCCTTTCTTCATTTACAACAAGAAAGTAACAGAAATCATCCACCATAACGAATGAGGTAAATTGGTTCAACCACCTGCAATAGGGTATATAAGCCATTTTTTCCAATATTATCCGCATAAAACATTGCAAAGGATATTTCAGTAAACCCTTCAAAAACGACAGCTTGATATTTTCAATGTGGCAATTCCCGACCATCCAATTAAGCGTTTAAAAAAGGCGAATCACAAGCATATGGATCTGGAAATCGTGTTTATATTAATTTCATTACATAATTATTATATGAAATTATTATATGAAGATAAGAATTGCCCATTGAATGATGTAAAATATGAAACATGACTGGTATTTTGAACAAAACTTCTTTTTTTTAACAAATCTGATATATTCTTGTTTCAACTAATAAAACATTGAATAAAAATCCGTAAAGATTTCACTTCTGTGTATGACCGATTGGCTGGTGGCTTATTGATTAAGTCTGTCAACTGAATTGTAATGCAAAATTATGTTCGTACTAAACCTTTAAGTCCGTGTTAAGACATTTAAATAACCATTTTACAAAGTGGTTTCAATTAAAAATAGAGGAATGACGTCTTTTGCTGACATAATTTAAATGCCAATGATAGTTTATGGTATTCATTAACACATGAAATATCTAAATGATTAACTTAAGCAAATTTACAACATCAAAACAATGTGATGAGGTGAATAAATTTCAATGAATCAAGAATATCAGAAGAATATTGGAAATCGCATGGCTACAAAAAAAATCGGTTCAAAGTAAGTAATGTATTTTGTTTTGCATATAGCACAGTGATATTTTGTAATGCATTTAAAATCTAAATAAAGATTGGAAATTCACAATGTTTATTTGGTCTTCTCATACAATATCTAGATGTTTGTCAGATCGCTATTTATATTTTTTGACTATCTATACTGCCCAGGGAATACATAAATACATGCATGAGCATTATAAGCATAGAAATATTTTCGTTAACAAACGGAAAATTAACTCATTTGCAATTAATGACAAGGGCATTATTAAATCGTTGCACCGCTAGATTTGTATCATAGGCATGTGATGTTTGAATATTAATAATAGTAATATCGTAATATGTTGTAACTTTTTAGATTGAATTCAAATGCTGACAATTGTGAAATGATAAAAAACAAATTTCACGTGCATTGTATATTTTATTTGTACATATTTCTCACTTTAAAAATGTAAAAAACCGTTTTATTTGTTCTTCTTTTGCCCACTTTCAGCCTTTGAGATATTCAAATAAAAGAACAATATTTTTTACCTGAAAGTGTAAACAACATTTTGATTTTTATTTGAACAGAATATCTCTCATTCGAGTAATAAATCAAGTTTCAACACGGTTGCAAATAAACGACCCACACAATTTCAAATCTCCGTGTTTACTCAAAATGAATGAGAAACTCTTCACCATTGATCAAATGAGCAAACCTCTTAAAAACCGGCACATGAATTGTACTGAAATTTGGTGTTGTATTAAATGATCAAAATAAAATTTGGTTTGCTTCCATGAGGACAATATCATGTGACATGGATATCATGAATTTAGTTCAGTTATTCTTTAAAGTTACCTTGGAAGTTTTGATAAAATTCCTTGATACAGATGGATATAATTGCTTGACAAATCCTAAATTTTACAATATGCACAATTCTGTTTTAGTTATTTTTTATTAAGGCATCCCGAACAAAAACACACATTTACTATAATAACTCTCCTTCTCTAGGAAGAATGCTATTTTTAAATTTTAAACCGCATTTTATCCTTAATCAATTAAAACACTAGTTTTAAGAATTAAAATAATATTTCTCTAAGTAAAAAAACACCCTACAAATATCAAAATATGATAGTATAAATATGTGCAATCTTATTTCATTAGCCCCCTTTAAATTCCATCGACAGGGGAATATACTATGACAAACAAGACAGTTAAGTTTTATGTAAATTGTTCACAGACGCTTTTATCACAATATAAAAAAAGTAGAAAAGAAAATAGTAGAAAGTGTTGTTATTTATAATGTTATCTTTACAACACTAAATTAAATGAGATAAAAGAATTGACAGCTAATCTGTGTATGAAGCACACTCTGCCAGCATTATATCGACTTATTGTCACTAAGCTGAGACTTACTGTCTTAGAAGTTGTTAGAAGCTTACTGGGGATGTTAAAGTAATACTAAAATGGTTTAAAAACACATTATAGAAAGACGACAATTATATCACGAACGACATAACGAATGATTTCACATGATTTGATAAAATACATTTAAGACTAAAGAGATCTTATGAATCTTATAAGATAATGAATGTGGAAGTGCAGATAACCTTTAAAAATCCGGCGATGTTAAATGTGGAGTTGCTGAACAAAAACAAAACTAAATGGCTTGATAAAGATTTGTTCTCAGTACTAACCTATATTATACAGAACTAGTAATTTCTAACGCGGTTAGGAATATTTGGTATAGTTATGGTCAAATCCTTGTTTTACATGTACACATGAACGTTTAATAACACGCCATAAAGTTACCATTTAGTATCTTAAATCCATAAATTCATTATGTATACAAACATCAAAGTTGGATTTTTGATAAATATTTTTTTATATAAATAATTTATATTCTCACAGTCACAGTCGTCGACGATTTATTCTATAATATGCGATGTTTATGTTTCATATAAATTATGACTTTCTTTAATTTATTGGTAAATCACTTTTTGTAATCTCGTAAATCTAATGTGAATAGTGCATGCATTAAACACAAAAAAAATGGTTCAAATAAGTTGCATTGGTGTACCTATATATACACAGAAAAGAATTTCTACAGGTGGTAAATTATTCTTGACGTATTTTTACATTTCAATTTGGTTCAAGTTTAATTGTTTGTTTTACAACTTTATGATTCGTATATGGTTATATTATCTTTTCAACACATGTAAGATAAGTGATAATTTTTTTTGCGCGAGGCTTACATCACATCAAATTAACTCAATATCTTTAATCCTATTAAGCCACGATTTATAGGCAGTTAAACTAGTAAGACAATGGTTGTTCTTAGTATGGTACTGTCATAGTATTGTGATGTCCAATGGGAAGCTTTAAGAAATCCATACATTCATGACAAGTACGTATTATCAAGTTTCCCATCGGGTATCACAGTCTGTCTTGACTACAACTCTGTCTCCTACTCAAAGGATTGAATTGTACAACTTACTGTCATGTTGTGGCAACCAGACTGTTTTACTGAATTTTCCTTTTTTAACTTGGTAAGCAAAATGCAAATTCTCCATGAGTTTGGTGGTAAAGTTATCTCTGTTTTTGGTCTGTGAAGTGATTTCCTTGACTCCTAAAGCAACAATACTTTGTCTTGGATGCCAACCAAAGAGGAGATAATTGAGTGAAAATCCAATGAAAATTTTCTCCCCGCAGGGGAGAATATCACAAGTCGATTTCTTTATTAATTTTTACGTCCATTTTGTCGTGCACTGTTTGTCAATTAGAAGCTAGAAAATAATACTTATTGTCCACGCATGCGGAACAATTGCAAATAACTCAACCTGTGACAGTAAAATTGCCAGATATACAAAAACATGTAATCAAATTTATAAATCTAAAACATAAAGGGTATAAACAAAAGGTGCATCTGTTTAATATTTGTTTTCAATCTTATTTTGAGCGATGTTAAGTCATTGGTAGATTTTTTGTCTGATTTCTGATTGTCTGTCACACAGTTTATTATGGGCCAATTAAAATCAGACAATTAACAAATTATTGCAATTATTATAAATCCAGCAAAGGCATTTATAAACTTGAAATTTAAATTGCTAAATTACTTTCCCGATAACCCACTTAGTATAATGTCATGTTTTGAAACATTGACCTTTCGATCCTTTCCATGGATATACAAGTTTGTTCTTGTTTAATTAAGGTTGTGTCTTCGTTTGAGAGCTAATCAATCCTGTTCTCACATTAATTTCTGTTTTTTATTGAAAAGTCAATATTCTGGGAAAGTCTTGCAGATTGAAAAAAATGTTTTTCGCTTTGGTAAAGATCAAAAGAAAATATTCAGGGGAAAAGTTCGTTATTTTTTCCGTATGCCTTTTAAGGATGATTCATTGTCCAAATTTTTGAAAATTTTGACAGTACGTTTTCAAATTGTTTAGCTGAACAATTTTTTAAAAACAGTTTGGTAATGCTACGTTTCTACTAGTTAACTAGAGTGATTTGTCTATACAATTCTTGCTGCATTTGAATTCTTTGGCGGGTAAATAAATCAACAGTGAGCTTGATAACTTAGAAGTAATTGAAAGTAAACATCTTTGTCTTTAAAACATCACAACAGATTTAAAACTTACTAACAATTATCGGAATACGTTTAGGTCCTGAAGAAAAACTTTAAAGATCAATGACCAAACAGTGAAAATCAAGTTAAAATTATTGTTCCTGTTGTCATCGAGAAAACGCATCGGGGAAGGTTGACACACGAGGCTTAACGTATCTAACAAATTTATTTTCCAATAGCACAACAGGAGAATGCGATAGATCGTGCTCTGAAGCAGGTATTATATTGGCTGACTTCCATTCCTTTTATAGATGAAACATATTCTACATCTCTAGAGTGGGACTGATATAGTTATTCTCTATTGCAGCATGAAGTTGAGACGTCTTAAGCGTCTTTGTAAATATTCTGTGATTGGAACATAACAAGGATTCATTTAAATATTCTAGATTGAAAACAAGAGAGATTTACAACAATGAGGCCGGCTGTATATGCTAGTGTTATGCGGAACCGGAAATCTGGGACAAGACGTGTTTTACCGACGCCCCATGTATATTCGTGGCAAAGATTTTTTGTGATGTTATTTGTTGGTGCTGTTTTATTCATTCCTGGACTAATTGTGACTATAATTGGAATAGAATATAACGATAATCTGGACGAAATTCCCGGAGATCGAGTGTAAGTTTTTGAACAGATGTTGCTTACCTTTTTCATATTTTCATAATCATAATATCAAAAAACTGATACTATAGTAGTATCACCTTATGTTGCACATAAGTATAGAATAGATCGTTCCAGTCTATTTAAGATAAAAATTACCATAACAAACGAGAACCAAGTGATGTTTTTTAGACTTATAAGTCACAATTTTATAATTGGTATAATTTTTATGGTCTTGATAAATTTTAAGTGTTGATCACCGTTTACAATGATTGATTACACCATCTCAAACACCATGAGACGTACAATAGTTCTCTGTCATTTCCATGTCATAAAGTAAACGGAATGATAAAATAACACTTGTTGTATTTGCTTGTTGAATCGATTCAACTTTGAATGCTACCGTGGAGCGTGAAATTCAATCTTGTCTGTTTCTACAGCTAGGTATAGACACATATTTAATTCAAATGGAAGTGTTTTATTTGAATTTACTAGTTAACACATTGGTAAATTTTCAGATATATCCAGTGGGAAATCAGTTTTGTAATAGAAACTATTTTGCTCTGATGGTTACATGTAATGTACGTCAAAAATAAGCCATTAAGTAGGGTTTTATCTTTCATACAATCAACAAGTTGTCATTCCTTATTCATATAGTAATCATTTTAATACTTGCGGGAATACAAACATGGTTGAAGTCTTCTTGAAAAAAATATTTATGTATTTCTTTGTTGACTATGAGTGATGCTGTTATTAACATGCAAAAGTGCTTCTTTATGTATTGAGAGAAAATGGATGGGAACTTTTAAGTTGGAATCGTCTTTAAAGCAACATTTGATAAGAATAATTTGAAAAATAAAATGCTGTAAATTTTCATAATGTAACGGAAACAAAAATTATAATATAAGTAACTGCCATATCGTTGTGTTGTTTTACGCTACAAAACGCTAAGAATTCAAAATAACTTCTTTTAATTATCGAAAAAAAGAATAATACTTATGATTAATGTGAACAGAAATCAAAGGAAATACATTCACTATAAGAATATCCTTCAATCCAATATATACGTTTGAAAAGAGTGTATTGTTATCTTATAGGTTATGCAAATTAAAGTCACAAGGGTGCTATAATAATATTATTAATGTTAAAACAAGAAAGAGTCAAAATGTATATTGAATTCAATGAAATAATATTACATAAAAGAGATAACATCATTTGTTTCTGGACATATGTCCGCAATAGGGCAAGTACGTGAAATGTTTCATCTATGAAGCCAATTATTTTTAAATTGTCACTTTCTTTTACCTCTGTTAGACTTTATAATCACATACTTTGATACTTTAATTTAGATAAATATTCTTCTATTATAATAATACTTACTTTAAGACCACTATATATTGATTAAAATTAGCATCTCTCTTTTACTGTTGACATAAAAATGACAACATTTTACTTTTTTTGAGCTTCAATGTCGCAAAACTATCTATAAATAAGTTGAAATGTGATAAATCTGAGACTCAATATGTAGTTTTGTGGACTCTGAACTCAGACACTATGGTGCAAAAAACGATCTTTGATTTTTATCTTATTTCATGTAACTCTATTTCTAAATGAACTGTACTATATTTCTATTTTTTTAGGCTTTTGTTCCCTCAGAGAATTATTTGTGAAGACTTATTAGTTTTTTTAGTATGTTTAAAGATACAAGGGAAGGAAAACTATTGAACATAATAATACATAAGATAATTGAAAGTTATATATAATTAGGTACTGTCTCGCAAGATTCAGGAAAAAAATCCAGTCTTATCACGCAACATTTCTTGTCTTGAAATTAAGATAACGGATATTACTTTAGTTCCTATGTCTACTTACATCTTGTGTTATAAAACTCTCAGTGTTGCAATATAATAATATACACAGCATAAAATGTATACCACGAAATAGCAGTCCTGAAATGAAGGATAAGGGCCTCGAACACAATAAATGTAGTATGAATACATAGAACGGATACGGTATTTCAGTCTAACATAAGCTAAAAAATAAAAACATAATTGGATTTGTTGATGAAGTTTACATTTCATCGTGCCCATCACCTAAGTTATGTTAATGTTTAGATATATAAGTAAAGCTGTATATTATTTATATACTTATTATTATGTTTATAGAATCCGAAAGTACATTGTATAAATGTTTACCTGTGGACGAAATTTCGGATTTGGTTGCAATTTATCGTCAATTTGCATTCACAAATTGTCTCTAATTGTCGGGCATATTTTTCTATCATCATTTTACCTTTATATAGTTTTTCAAATACATTCATTATACAAAGATTAAACCCTCTGTTTTTGTTTTACATCTGAAGTAACGTGGTGAAACTACTTTCATTCCGCATTAACTCCGAGACGCTACGCCAAACAGAAACAAAAGGATAAAATTTTAAAGCTCTATCGATCTAGGCTTAACCTAATAGCAAACTATCTAAAATATCTTCATTTCATAATGAAGTATTTCTATGATCAAATACTTTTTATGTCTCCTTTTGTACCAACATTATGGCCTTTAACATACTTCCATTATAAAAATTAAAATTTTATGTTCAGCTTTACTACTTTCTGAAATGTCAAAAAACACTTAATATTATAACATCAGATACGATTGTTACAAGACAGATATTTGATTTCTATTCAATTGACAGAAATTCATAAAATTGTAATCTGTATATAAATTTGTCTAATATTTTCATTCTTTTATGACGATATTTCATATTATGTAAATATGCAAAGGCTGTACCCTGCGCTCTCAATTTTATAACTATCAGTGTATGTTATATCTTACAACTGTTGGTAATACTTACTTTATTATCCTATCTCCATAGTATAGAATCTCCAGACTAATCTTGTTGTGCAGAAATAATTTCTTTTTCTCTTTCTCTGGAGTGTATCATAACTAGATTTGGACATTTGTCATTCTCGCATTTAATGTCATTTTCTAATGTTTTAAGAGAACCCGGCATTTTCATAGTAATTTTTTCAAAAGGAAGCGAGACATATTGATCGGTTTGGTTTTATGTTCATTTCATATTCCTGCTCATCTAAAATAAACATTTTACTCAATGGAAAATATTCCCGTATAAAGTGCATTGGGGATTATAAATATCCTATTTCTATTATTCTTTTGTTATTCAGTCAAAAATGAAATATCTAGCGCCACAAATATCTAAAATATGTTTGTATTTACTTTAAAAGTAGGCTTTAAGCCAACTAGGCCTGGAAAATACCGTAAAATCAAAGTGTTAATACTTGTTTTGAAAATAAAAACTAAATTTCTAGTTTATTGATGTAGTATAGTGCACGAGTCGAGTTCAAATGCACAGTAATTTTATCACAAATTACGGATTTTCGTGGTTAATGAAATTGCATTATGAACAATAAATCCTGCATGTTTGCACGACAATGCATCAAAAATAATTATCTATAACTTACAGAAAGAGTCTAGACAAAAGTAATAAACTTTTGGAATAACGTGTAAATTAATTTGGTGTTTGTTGTTGTAGAATAATATACGGTTCGAGTCTCACAGATATACATGTAACCACAACTGCGGGTATGCCTGTGCGGTTAAAGAAAAAAAAAACATCTGTGCATAATTATACAAAAACGCCTAGAAAAGTAATATATATTCCGATTCTAACTTGCTTATCGAAAGGTGACTCAAACTCCATTGAGCGGTGAAGTAAATGTCCTGACGTCATTTGGTTTATTGGCGTCGAATCGGATGTCGCTTCCTTTTTAATGTCGTGAATATAGCTTACCATGTAATTATGCACTCCACTGCCTTCTTGTTAAGCAGGTCAGAACGAACCATATTGAGCGGATTAGAAATTTCCGTAGCGCTTTTAGGTTTATTGACATCATATTAGACGTCATATTGCATGTTGGCATTCCTGCATATCCTTATGCAATGCATATACGCATATAATGTAGTATTTTACTCAACTTTTCAGGCTGTAAATAAGGAAATGGTGTAAAAAGTGTACATTTTAATCAAATGCGTTCTATAGATTACAGATAATTGTCAAACGCAAAATATATTCTTAATTTGAACCTTTGTAATTATGCAAATTGTCATGTTTGGCTAATAGGACTTACATAATTAAATGGCATAATTAAACAATATTGTGAAAGTGATTATTAGAAAATATCATTAACTCACCATAACAGCACCATAAATTACTTCATGTATAGCATAATGCATGAAAATGAAACATTAATCTGATAAAATGTTTAATTTTTTCCGTGTAAATTCCAGACTTATGTAAAGTGAATAGCTTTAGTATATTGTTATAAAGATGTCTGACAGGTTATATGAACTAGTATATATGGTTATTTTAATATAACCCGAACCACTATGTGATGTTTATATTGCAAACAACCCTTTATATACTGAAATATAACAATAGTCTTTATAACGAGTTTATGATACAGCATACTTCCTTTATTTTAAAAAATAATAATCTAAAAATATATCAAATTGAGAAAGTGTACATTTAAATCAAAATAATTAACAAAAAATCAAGTCTTTAACATTCATTTAGATTAATGTTCATTTTTTTTCTTTTTGAGAAGTATTACTGATGGATGTTGCACTTATTTATTATCCCGCATGCACAGACTCAATCAAACCGAGTCTGCAGTTTTCATGTAATTTTGTTGCGATTAATGCTTCCGAGAGATCACTTTGTTTCCAGATTTTTAGGTGATTTGCGTTAAATAAGTGTAACTTGATAAATGCGGGTTTGCCAATTCTATTTCCTTGGCTTTATTATAATGTTCATCATGATTTATCTACTTCGCAATTCTATGTCATATTTCAGTAAACTGTAGTTAAACAACATTTACTTGTTTTTCCTAACGGTTAAAACATTATCAGAATTGATTTTAAGTACGGTATTTCAGTTATATCCCAGCTTACACAATATTGTAGAAATGAGTCTGTCCTTTACCATTTATTTCTTCTGT